ATTTGAATTTAACGGTGGAGAATAGTTGGAGCGCTCTATAAAAAGCGGACTTGAGCGTTTTCAGAGTTTTTTACTCTTGCGAAAATAGAAAATCCCATTGCTCTCAAACCTCTTTGCGATTTCCGGCATTCTTCAAGCATTTTCGACGAGAAATTTGATTTTCCGACGACCACACACCACTTTTTGACCATTTCCAGCTGGGGAACACTCAAACTCGTAAGTTTCAGTAAATATTTTGAGACATTTCCTTTCTAAAAAATGGCTTCTGAGGGTAGTGCTAGTTCAGGGATGGGGCTGGAGTTAGTACGGATAGACGAGCCAATTGTGGTGACCTCCTCTGAAGTAGTCGAAGCGATACTTGGGAGGGAGAACATTTGGAAGAGGCCGGATAGCCCAGTAGATACCTCCGTGCATTGGGGGCGTCGGATTACCCCTCCAAGCTAAAGGGGGCCGACCTAGAAAGACTTAGAACTGAATATAGGATACCCGATAGTGTAGACCTGATCCTACTCGAGCCTGAAGAGAGGGCATGCTACCCTAGGCCAGGGTGCGTGGCGATAAGCGAGGCGATCCCTAGGGTCGGTCTTAGACTTCCAATTCACCCATTTTTTCGGATGGTGCTTAGGTCTTATGGCTTAGCACCGACCCAACTGAACCCGAACTCCTGGAGCCAAATGGTGGGCTCCTGGATGTTATGGAAAGAGGCATCACTAAGAGTGGAGATGTCCTTTTCCATTTTTCAGACCCTCTATATTCCAAAAGTAACAGTCGGGGGGATAAGACCAGGGGCTGGTATTACCTGACCTCTTGGGGTTTCCACACTCCATTTGTGCTCGATCTGTCGAGCTCCATCAAGGAGTGGAAGAGCTCGTGGTGCTGGACTATCGGGAGATGGGACACGATGGAGGGGGACCCCCTGGCACCTCTTACGGTCCCCACGAAGTACTCGTCTCTTAGTGAGTATTGTAGTTGTATTTCTTGTTTATTTCTCTTCGATTCAGATTATAACTAACATTTATGTTCATTTTTTGAAGGCACTCTTCCTCGGTGTGAGCTGTCCTTCGACGACTTCAAGATCATCTGCGTCATCTATCAGTTGCTTCCGAAGAAGAGGTCGTTCCATCGGCTGATCAGAAAGAACCTCCATTTTGTGACGAATGACCTGATGGCCTCACAAGGTAATATCTCGAAGTGAATACCTTTCAGTACTTCCGAGTCGTTTACAGTTGTACTAATTTACTTATTTCTTGTAGATAACTTCAATAAGAAGATGCCTCTCCAGCCCGACTTCAAAACAATACAAAAGATGATGGCCGAGGCGAGGGCCTTGAAGACCTCCTCCTCCTCCTATAAGAAGCAAATGGAGGACTTAGTGGATACCAGCAATGGGCTCCCGCCCCCAACGGAGGAGGAGGTGCCCGAGGATCCCGAGGCCAATTTGGTTTGTAAGGGCAAAAAACCTGCTGCCCCTTCAAAGCGGCCAACGGTGACGAGGCCACCCTTTGTTCTGAGGCAAACCACAATTCCTATCGGGGTGGCCATCTGAAGAAGACATCCACGCCACTAGAGGCTTTCCCTACCCCGGCCAAGGCACCAGTTGCTGTTGTTCCTCTCGTCCAGGTGCCGGGGCAGCCTAAGAGGAAGAGAGCCCGTCCCTCAAAGGAGGTGGACTTCTTGGGCACGAACTCCGAGGAGACAGTAAAGGAAGTGCTGGAGGCTCTCTCCCCGGAAACGGCTGCAGTGGTAGTGGTCCACAATAAGTACTGGATCGAAGAATTGAGGGACCATACCACCTTTTGCATAGCCGAGGACTTAGTGGCAGCTAACAGTGCCTGCGTGGCCCAGGCTCTGAGCACCAGCATCCAGCTCGAAGGCTTGGTGAAAGACCTCAATGCCAATAGGGAGGACCTCGCCAAATGCCTCGAGGAGGCGATGCAATATGGGGACGCGGTGAGGGAGGCCCGGGCCAAGGCCACGGAGGAAGAGAAAGGGAGAAAGGAAGCTGAGGCCCAGTTGACGACTGCCAAAGGGGACACAAAGTGGCTGAAGAAGGAGCTTTACGAGGTGAAGTGTCAAGTGGCAGCCATGACCCGAAGAGTGGATCACGCCAATGAGCACCACCGGCTCGCCACGGAGGCTCTGGGGGCCTCCAACAAACAAAGGGCGAAGCTGAGGCAGAGGGTGGAGGCCCAATCTGAGGAAATTACCTCCTTGAAGGAGGAACTGAAGTCAGCAGGGGAAGTGGCTATTCAAAATTTCATTGACCACTTCGAGGAGCATCCTCTGTACAACGACTTTGCAAATTTTTGGGCCTCCTGGAGTGCCCAAGGCATATTGGGTCGATTGAAAGAGGTTCACCCTACTTTGGACATCTCCTCTTTACAGGTAGAGTTTTGGGGACCTACTGGAGGCCAGCCTAATAGGCTTGTCGAGGATACTCCAGTAGCCCCCGAGGCGGGCGGGGAAGGGCCTCCTGTAGAGTAGGGCTTATTTTGTAATGGCTTCGGCCTCTTCTGTAAATTTGAGGTGAATGAAATGAAATTTTTTTACTAAGTGTTGTTGCTTCTACTTTCTTATCGTATTGATCTGTTTATACATATATGAATGACAATCACTTAAGGCTAAGCGCCTCTTAACAATAATCAGAACATCGGATCACTTAAGTAATCATCAAGCGCCTCTTAAAAATAGTCAGAAGATCGGATCACTTAAGTAATAATCAAGTGCTTCTTAACAATAATCAGTTAATGACAGGAGATGGGATCACTCAAGTAAACATATTGAGGAACTGAGGTAACAATTTGCTAACCGATGTGACAAAGAACTGAAGTATCAATACTTAAAAAAGTTACATTACCCATTACCGAGGCATTTTCAGCGCTCAGTAAGATAGGAAAATTATAAATGAAATAGGATCGGGACATACACTTATTAGACAACATTGAGATCGGATCGAAACAAAAACTCATCACTGATAATATTTTCTTAGGTGTTCAATGTTCCATTGATGAGGTAGTGCTTTCTCTGCCTTGTCTTCAATTTCGAAAGTGCCAGGTCGGGATTCCCTGCGGATGCGGTAAGGACCCTCCCAGTTCGGTCCAAACACTCCTGACCCGATTAGCTTTGATGATTAGAAGACCCTTATGAGGACGAGGTCTACCAGGCGAAGAGTTCGATTTCTGACCTTGGAGTTATAATAGCGGGTCATCTTCCTATGATACTTTGCCAAATTCACCTAGGAGGTATCCCTCCTTTCTTCAAGGAGGTGGAGTTCGTTCACTCGAGCCTTGTCGTTACCGATCTCATTGAAATGTATTCGACGGTGCGATGGGACCACGACCTCGACCGGGCTCATGGCCTCGGCCCTGTAGGTCATTGAGAATGGTGTTTTCCCAATTGCAGTTCGACTTGTGGTTCACATGGCCTAGAGGACGTGGGGAAGTTCATCGACCCAAGCCCTCTTTGAGGTATCAAACTTCCTTTTCAGGGTATGCTTGATGGTTTTGTTTACTACCTCAACTTGTCCATTTTCTTGATAGTGATGAGGCGTTGAGAAATTCTTTTTTATCCCCAATTCGTCGCACAATTCTCGCATTTTCCTATTGTCGAATTGTTTCCCATTGTCGGACACTAAGGAGTGGGGAATATCGAACCTGCAAATGATATTCTTCCAGATGAATTTTGTAGTATTTGTCTCGTTGATCTTCGCAAGAGGTTAGCTTTGACCCATTTGGTGAAGTAGTCAATGGTGACAATGGTGAAGGTTGCGCTTCCTCTTCCTTTAGGGAGTTGACCAATGAAGTCGATACCCCACTTGGCGAATGGCCATGGGCTGGTTACTACGGAGAGGTTCTGAGAAGGCTGTCTTTGAATATTCGAGAAGTGCTGGCACTTGTCACATTATTGGACAAACTGGCAAGCATCCCTTTTCAGGATTGGCCAAAAGTAGCCTTGACAGAGAACTTTGTATGCCAGGGCCGCTCCTCCAGAGTGATTTCCGCAGATTCACTCATGGATTTCCCTAAGTATATATGTGGCCTCTTCGCCTCCCACACATCGGAGAAGTGGTGAGGCGAAGGCTCTTTTGTAGAGCATATCCTCTTTCAGGACGAAGTGCGTAGCCCTTCTCCTCAACTTCCTCGCCTCGCTTCGAGAAGCAGGTAGTGTTTGATCCTTTATATAGGGGATGATGGGCAACATCCATAATGGGGTGCCTACTATCCAAAGTACCTCGACTTCGACAAGTGTTCAATAGGGACGACCTTTAATAGTTCAGAATCCTAGCTGCTGGCCAATTTTGAAAGGGCGTCTGTATGTGTATTCTCTAGACGTGGGACTTGAATCAGTTCGAACCTTTCAAACTGAGGGACTAGGTCCAGAACCAATTTCAAGTATGCAACCATGCTGTTGTTTTTGGCCGCAAAGCTTCCACTGACCTGATTCACTATCAGTTGAGAATCGTTGTTGGCTACGAGCCTTCTGACCTGTATTTCTCTTGCCAGTCTAAGGCCTGTTAGAAGGGCTTCATATTCGGCAGTATTGTTCGAGGCTTTGAAGCCGAACCTTACTGTGCAATTTAGCTTGTGACCCTCCGGGCTTTCCAAGACAATTCCTGCCCCGGAGCCCGCCTCTCCTGAGGATCCATCTACGAATAGTTTCCATGTTGGGGGCTCAGCTGGTTCCATTATTGCCTCGATTTTCGGAGTTTTCACGAACTCAACCACAAAATCTACAAGAGCCTAGCCCTTGATGGCATGTCAAGGTCGGAACAGTATGTCGAACTCGCTGAGCTCGATTGCCCATTTTAGCAGGCGTCCTGATGCGTTTGTCCTTTGCAGCACTTGTTTCAATGGGAAATTGGTGAGAACGTCGATCGAGTGGGACTGGAAGTATGGCCTCAGTTTCCTTGAGGCTGTGATGAGGGCAAGTGTCAATTTCTCCACATCTAGGTACCGTGTTTCAGCTAGGAGGAGTGCTTTGCTGACGTAGTACACTGGCAACTATCGTTCATTTTCTTCTCTGACTAGGACAACGCTGACCACCACGTCCGATACTGCCAAAGACAGCAGCAGAGACTCTTCGGGTTGAGGTTTTGAATAAAGGGACGCCTCTCCAAGGTGTTTTTTCAACGCGTGGAAGGCTTCTTCGCACTCAGACGTCCATTGAAATCTCTTTCCTTGCTTAAGCACCTTGAAGAAGGGTAAGCTCTTATCAGTGGCCCTGGAGATGAAACAACTGAGTGCGGCTATTCGACCATTGAGGCTTTGGACCTCCTTTGGTTTCTAAGGTGACCTCATTTCTGGCAAGACTGTTATCTTTACTGGATTGACTTCAATTCCGCTTTGGTTAACAATATACCCCAAGAACTGACCCGAAGCCACCCAAAGGTGCACTTGAGGGGATTCAACTTCATCTTATATTTTCTAAGTATCTGAAAGGTTTTGTCGAGGTGACTTACGTGTTCGCTTGCCTGGAGGCTTTTGACTAGCATGCCGTCCACGTAGATCTTCATGGTTTTGCTAATGAGTTCGGCAAACATCATGTTGACCAGTCTCTGATATGTGGATCCGACATTTTTCAATCTAAAGGGCATGACTTTGTAGCAGTAGTCTTCTGTCTGTGATGAATGATGTAGCTTCCTCATCAGGTCGGAACATGTGTATCTGATTGTACCCTGAATATGCATCCATGAAGCTCAATAGTTCACGTCCAGCAGTGGAATCCACAAGTTGGTCTATTCTTGGAAGTGGGAAGCTGTCTTTAGGGCACGCCTTATTCAAGTTGGTGAAGTCTACGCACATCCTCCACTTCCCGCTGGGCTTTTTCACCAGGGCCGGGTTGGATATCCAATTCGGGTAGATGGCTTCCCTTATGAAACCACTGCGGCTAAGCTTGCCTACTTCGTCTTTGAGAGCCTCGTACCTTTCTGGGTTGAGGGAAAGTCTTTTCTGCCGATGAGGGACATAGGAGGAGTTGATGTTAAGATAGTGGCAACTGATCATTGGATCTATTCCCACCATATCCTCATGCTTTCAAGCGAAGACATCCAAGTTCCTTTTCAGGAAACTTATCATCTGCTCTTTTGTTTCAGGGGGCAGTGCCTTTCCTATTCGCAAGACCTGACTAGGGTCCTCTGGGTTGGCGGAGAAAGTTTCTAGTTCTTCTATTGGGGTTGCATTTGGTTCAGAGTCAATTATCCGGGGATCTAACTCAACAAGAAGGTGTCCTTGTTCAGGGGCCTCTTCCATGTTAATGTCTTCCTCCTGTTCGGAGGTATGCCCTTGTTCAGGGGTGTCGAGCATTTCCACGTCCATACTGGCTTCATTGGCAACTTCAGTTATGATCACGTTAACAGTTCGGGGCTCCGACTTTCTCAAAGAGTTCAAGTAACATGCTCTGAAACCCACCTGGTCGCCTCGGACCGTAGCAATCCCATGTTCAGTTGGGAATTCCATACACAAGTAGTGGATGGATGTGACGGCCCAAAGATCTTTCAAAGCGGGTCTGCCCAATACTCCATGATAGGCCGATCTGTGGTCTACCACTAAGAATTCCATGAAGTGTTGAGCCACTAGGGGTGCTGAACCCATCTCGACGGGCAGAGTGATCCACCCTCGTAGGACGATGTTGTCTCCAGTAAATCCAAATAGTGGGTCGGTCATGGGGATCAACCCATGTTCAATTTGCATTTTGTCGAAGATGGAGCCGAACAGTTGTTCACCGAACTTCCATTGTCGACGAGCATGCGCTTGAGTCTGTTTCTAGCCACTACGGCTCTTACAACCAATGCATCACTATGGGGGTGGTGAATTCCTTCTGTATCTTCCTGGGAGAAGGTGATTGAGGCCATCTTGTTGGCCGCTTGTGACTCGTTGACAATGTAGGTAATTATTGGCGAGTCTTTTACTTCCCTTGTATAATTCCTTTGGGCGTTCCTGATGTTGCCACCGATGTGAGGTCCCCCAATGATTGTGTCGATCTCCCTGACGACTTGGCTCCCAGAGAATGGGGCCTGATCTCTCTGTCTAGACTGTTCTCGGTCCCTTGATTCTCTTTTCTGGGGTGATTGTTCTCTATGCCCTCTCTCTCCTGTTCAGGGAGGCGGATCTGCAAGGATATTCGCTCCTGCTGGAAGGATGTGGGTTGTTTCGATCCGAGTGTTGATTAGCGTCTCGGCACTCACTAGTGTCATGCCCATAGAGTTGTTGGAAAGTGCAGAACCTTGCCCCTTCCAAAAGGCTTGTTTGATCGCTTCTTCTTCTTCTTCTTACTATCAGCTCTTTCTGATGGTCCTACTTCTCCAGGAGCATTCTCGTATGCCAATACCGGCACTGCATTCAATGTGGCGGAAGCCAGTGCTTGTCTAGAGGTGGGAGCTATTGTATGACTTGCTTGAGTCCATTGCTGAGTGACAAGGTGCGCTGCGGGTCCTCGACCTACCTGCCCTGAGGCGGAGGGAGTCATTGCGCGGCACGGTTTCGGTGATTAATCATTTCCTCACTGACGATTTCCACTTTCATCATTTCCACCAGCTCGTCATAGGTGGCAGGATTCTTGCTGCGCACGTCCCTCCAGAACAAAGTGTTCATGTTGAGGCCGCCTTTCAGAGCCGAAAGGGCTTCTTTGTCAGTAACCTGTTCGCAGTATGTGATTTCGTCTGTAAACCTGGCGAGATAGCTTTTCAGCATCTCTCCAGGGACTTGCCTCATATCTTGCAGGAGTTGCACTGGGGTCTCTCATTCCCTGCATGAGAGGTATTGGTTTAAAAATGCCTTCTTCAAATCTGGCCAACTCCTAATGCTCAGGGGAGGAAGTCTGCTATACTATACTTCAGCAGCTCCACCCAGTGTTAAGTGGAAGGCTCTACATTTCAAAGTAGGTGAGGTTCCCCTGAGGCTCATCTGTGTCATGTACTTGGTGAGGTGCTACTCCGGGTCCTCCTTTCCTTCATACTTGGGGATCTTAGAGGGCATGGAGTTCGTCGGCATTGGGAAGCTTCGGATCTCCCTTGAAAAAGGGATGTTATCATCATCGTCATCGATTTCATAAGATCGACAGAGCCCATCTGACCCTTCATCATCCTGAATATCCTGGGGAGGTGGAGGTGCTTCTCCTCGGCTTTCCCAATCGACTAGATCCCTTCTATCCCTCCTATTTCTAGGAGGAGGCACCTGTTCTTATTCCTGGTCTTGCCGAATTGATCTTCGCACTGAGCGGGCCCTATTACTAGGATCCTATCCTATTCGGTCGAAGACGCTTACTGACCTTTATTCTTCATATTCTTGAGGGGAATTGTCCCCTAGCTGTGGTTTTGCTGGCTGGCTTCCTTGCACATAAGATGTGGCTTCTGCGCCCACTTCTCTTTCGAGGGGGCATTCTTTGTGTCGGCTTATATGGCCTCGGGAACGAGATACAGGGGCTTCCTGCAGTGGGTAAGATCCTTGGGGTATTTGATAGCTCTGTTGACCTTGGGCTTGCATGAGAAATTCATGCAGAGTCATATTCTGAGCTGCGATGTCTCTCATGCCTGCCGCTATTTGACCCATCCTTTCAATGAGCACGGCTGTTCTTTCACCTCGGTGACGCCGGTGATGGGGTCTCTGGTGAGTGACATTGTTATGGAGCACCTTCTCTTCAGAGGCCTTTCTTATGGGGTTGTCGTCTTCATGGTGATGAGAATTTGGGATATAACTCGACTATGTTCTTTTTCAACAAAGTGCCATTTTCAGGGTAAGTCGCTAGTTTTCTGGTGTTTTCTCCGTTGGATAATGCAGAACTTTGAACGGGAAGTTCCCACAGATGGCGCCAATCTGTTGATCTCGAAAATTGGACCCTCCACGTGGCCAACCGATAGCCACTCCACGTATTTCTCCTTGCGCACAATCAACGCACGGTCAGATGCACACGGCCAGAACCAGCGGGGGCGACGGCGGCCGTATACACTCTGACGGTCATGTTAGGCTCAGGTGATCCGAACAGTACCAATGTTGTGCAAAATAGTGGGGAGGAGAATATATGTTTGCTTGCTATGGAGTGTTAAGTAGAAAGAGTTTCATTACCTTCACCTCTTGCCAAGCCTTGGGTATTTATAGGTGAGGAGAGCCGTTGGATGTGAGACACGTGTTTATATCTGAACGGTATGAGGCGTCTGCTCATAGGCGTCAATCAGCCGCGTCTATAGATTGAGTTGACATAAAGTTGATAGGTCACATCAACTAGTCTCATGGAGACGTCAAATCACTTTAAACCTTGGGGCAGAAAAGATCTTGACAAAGATCTCATTCTGAAATTTGCGATAGATCTCCTGGCCGAGGTCCCTAGGGTTCATTTCGCCTCGAATTCAGGGGGAGAGGGCGTTTCAGTCAGTCCTGCAGGATTACCTATGCCTCGTATAGTGATAGCAGATCATCTCCATTGGTGAAGTCACTTCGGAACCATTTCGGATGAGCGTTCCACACCTCGTATGATGTGGTGGTGGACTTTTCGAAGTGGTTCAGTTAGGGGTGTAACAGAAGTCATATGCAAGCAAACTCAAACGTGTTTTAAAAAGTTACATATTTGTCCTTTACAATTAAAAATTACTTATTTTGAACCTAAAAATTTAAAACTTACTTATTTACTTTTAAGTAATTTTTTGAATTTAATAAAAATTCCACTATATATTCTAATGCAGTTTTTTAACATAATGCATTCCTCCTATTCAAAAGGGAGTAATGTGTAATGCCCCCCGGGACACTTCTCCACTGGCAAAGGACGGATTCTCTCAAAACTGGCAGATCAGAGATCGTGGGTTTGATTCTTAGGGCTCTTGGAAGGCAAGGCACATACTGGAAGGCAGGAGTGTCTTGGAAGGCAAGACGCAACATGAGTTGGCTCACTAGGCACTTTGACAGTCCAGTTGGAGAGGTGTTCGGACCCTGGTTAGTTGGAGGCACATCCCACGGTTTAACTGGTCTGTGTGAAGAGGGGGCCGGATCACAGACCTAAGGAATAGTCGTCGAAGGCGGACACCTTGATTAAAAAAAAAAGAATAAAAAAAGAAAAGGGAATAATGTGTAAACAAAATCGGTTTTGTTTGGTGTACATTCATGGTAAACGATTTTTTTTTTGTTTGTTTAATATTGTGTGATGTAGTACATTATATTGCCATTGATTTTAACAAGAACAATCAACAACCTCGATTTTTTACACCTCACACAATATTAACCATGACGTACACAAAGATTGTACAAGTAAAATAATTCAAACAATAACTCTTTTTCCATAACAAGGTTAAAAGTCAACTAAGCATCATCATGTTGAAGAAAAATTAAACAAACAAGCAGCTTAATTGACATCTCGACTAAGAGTTTAGCACCAACTTGGCTTCATAGAATTATTAAAATTTAAATGGTGGGATAATTAGCCCATATATTTCACCCTTTAAAAATTTAAATTGTTTGCTGCATGATCATTCTCCACCATATATTCACACAATAAAATATTCTACACACAAACCAATAAAGTTTTTCTTATTTTTTAACCACAGATTTTCTAAAAAAATACTATTCAATAACTCATTATTCTCAAATAAATTCTATCAAAGAGGCTCAACTACTTACTAAAACTTTACAATTTCTTGATTAGGTTATGGACTCCCAATCTTCAACTTTATTTTCATTGTCTAACATTCCTTAAAGTAGATGAATCAACAAAGTATAAGAATGAAATAAAGATATTGATTCTTAACTCTATGAAACAATATATAATGTAATCAATTGGACTTATTGTAGTTTAATTTAAATGAGGATTTGCGGTCTTTGCTCATTTATTTCGGTCTAATTAAATTTAATATTTTAATTCTATATTTTTAAGGGACGTCAGACAACTCATCATGTAGTAATACCATTGATGCATTGTAAAGTTTTGATTCCATTTATGGTGATTCTGCTTGAAGTTCCCAAGTAATTCAATTTATAAGTTCAAGATCTCGTTTGTTTATTATTATTATTATTTTGGATCTAACCGATGTAAAATTTTACATGAACATATTTAACGATAGCACATATCTCATTGTGATATTTAATCTTACTTCTTCCCGATATGGAGGCATTTTTTTTTTAACTTGTCACCCTGAAAGTATTTCAAACCATTTAAAAAGCTACTCGTAACTTATTATTTACATATATTTACACCGGCTCTTGAACCATCGTAAAAGTATTTACAACAGATTCGAAGGTGTCCAAAAAGTGTGTCATATTTGTAACTTATATATAGGTTAATTAATGAACGGTTTAACTCATAATTGAACTGCTTTTCAATTGATTTTCTTGGTTTCCAATGAAGTTGACTAGTATTATCTGTGTTTCAAGACATTGACTAGTATTGTTAAGCCGAGGAATTAGCATTAATCTCAAGAATGCACGAAGAATCACTAGATCAAAAAATAAAAAATGCAAGAAAAACAAAGGAAAAGAAGGGAACACAAATTTGCATATACAAATAAATATTGAACTTGCGAAAGAGCACGACCATGATAAAAGAAAGGATAAAATCAATAGAAGAGAAACCAATGACCTAACTCTGGAGAACAAGACTTTTTCCAAGAATAATATCGTCTGTCTCGAAATCAGCTTCTTTCCTAAATGTCCCCTGACCAAAGTCTAGGTTGTAAGAATCTGCAAGACCTTCCACCAAGTTGAATTCTGGTTTCCACCCCAGCACACTCTTTGCCTTTTCAATTGATGTAAAGAAATGCTGCATTTACATTAAGAAAATTTAAGATTTTACATATGAAAATAAACAAGGAAATTTTTAACAGAATGAAATTTGTCTCTCAATATTTGATCACCATTAAAATGTGTTTTGATATCTGATCTTCAATAGGCTTATAACACAAATTTACCTGGTCACGGAAAGGAAATGGTTTCTTTTTACCAAAATCGAACTCCTTGGGGTTGTAGTGAATTATCTCAGGCTCAGGGAATCCAGCGGCCTGTTAGAAACATATAGACAATGACTTCGTTGCCAGTAAGCCACAAGACACTCTCTTCTTTCAGGAATATATTTATTAGTCAGACTAACCTTAGCGCATGCCTTAGCTAATCCATCAAAGGTAACATATTTCTCACCGGAGATGTTAAATATTTGCTTGCTTGCTTTTTCATTACCAAGAACCTGAACAAAGGCTCTCGCGAGATCCTGAAAATTTTCGAGGGAACAGCATAAAAATCAGTTTCACTTGCATAGACATAAGTTTTCAAGTCTTACCATCCAACCATCTTTTAAAATTGTGCGATTTTGAAGAAAAATGAATGTGGCATGCTTGCGAAGTGTGTGTTAGAAGACAATTTACTTTTCTCAAAGTTTAAACTTTTTAGATGAAATGGTTTAATACGAAAGAATTATAAAACTTTGAAACCTAGATTGTTGTGTGGATACCCCATATTGAGTTCGAGGCAAAATGTAAAGGAGATAAAATACAAAGAATTTACGTGGATTGGCACTTTAGCACATGGGCAGAGACGACGAACTTCACTAAACATAAGGGGAGAATACA